TGCCACGCTAGTAGTAACAGGTGCCTTACTAGTAGTAACAAGAAGCTTTATTGGTCAAACTTGCCATAGCGGCCATTCGCTCCGTTGCATGTTGCTCCGGTGGGTCAGGTCTTGTCCTCCTCACGCGCCATGGAGGTCCTTGAGGAGTTTGACGTCCACGATGAGTATGCTACGGAGAAAACGGCCGTTGTTGTGATACATACAAGCTCTTTGGTTGCACGAGTTGCTGGACCTTGCTGCATAACTTGATCTACCTTGTGCATGCGGCTCCAGGTCCTTTGAATTCTTTTGGTTCGACACAATTGTGATCCCTGCAAGACACCTTGTCACGATTTGGGTTCAAGGATGTTTTAGATCAGCCATGTGTTTGAATATGTTTGAATTACAAGATTCCTTTCTGAGGTACACGTTTGACATGACGCGGCCTGACTTTTCTCAGGACCCGATTCTGTCAAAAAGATGGCCTTGACCATGGACAGGGTGCGACACTAAGCTGTTGAGGCCGAACATGTGAGGGTCGAAGGCATGAAATGGTTGGGCCCAGAAGCTTTGAAGTTTCGAGATTTGGACGATCCTGAAGACCGGAGCAGCTGAGCTCCTCCGAGAGCTGTTTGTTTTTCCTGTTTCTTTTGGAGAATTCCAAGAAGCTGGTGTTTCAGGGACCCCTGCATTTCAGCACACCCACCCAGTCACCTCAAATTACTAGTAGGCGACCTTCCAAAGATCGAACCGGGATTGAAGATCGATCCGGGATTGAATTTTGTCTTCAGCCATGGCCCTTTGAGTCGCCCAAGTCCTTTGAGTCGCCACTTGAGGTGATTATTCTTGTGGCACCCCCTGCCATGAAGCTCGTGGACCATCTTTCTGAATGCGTCGAATTGTCCAAGACAAAGTTCTCCGCAGATGCGGATGATGAAGAAGGCCGATGCAATCCGCCATTTTTTTGTCAATCTTTATGGTCCACTGGATATCAAACAAGATGCAGATAGATGTCTCCCAAACTAGAAGATGGCATGTGTCCGCATGGGTTAAAAAAGGGCCCATTGCATGTGGCCGTGGCTCTTGCTTCCCAGGTGTGCGCTTGAAGGATAGTGGACGCTACTTGGACTGCGCGCGCATTGGAAGCTGCGCATCGGTTTTTTTTCCACTACTCACCTGGTGTAGACTTAGAGTTTACCCTACGGCCAGCCGATGTGGTGGACAAGCAGGAGCTTGGATTGAGCTAGTTTGTTCAAAAGGGAACCTGGATTTGTTTTTTAAAGTTTTATATATATTCTTTTTTCCCTCAGGGGAGGTAGGCCGCTAAGGTAGCGAGGTGGGTAGGTTAGCTAGGTAGCTACAACCGACAGGACGCAGGATAGCTCGCGCTTCTTTAAGGAAGCTCCCCCCGCCGCCCTAAAGGTGGCGGGGGAAGCTTCCTAGAAGAAGCGCTCGAACTAATGATTTGGTTCCTAGATCTTTAGGGAAACTTAATAGCCAAGGTAGTTGCTTTCCAGATCCAATTGCTAGTTGCCTCACCTTCATTGGTAATGTCCACTTCGGATTAACACACGACCCCTGAATAAAGCTAAACAAATCACAAAACATATCAATAAACGATCCCTGCCGGTAAATGACAGCCTCCACTTTTGTTTAGAGGATTGAATGACTGTCCTATGCATTTTTGCTTGCTTGCCATGGGAATTTGCAGGAACTTCCTTATCTTTATTGTGTGCTGATCCAGCGGATCAATCTTGGGGGGGTAATCCAGAAGATCTGAGCATGCAACAGTATTTGCTGCTCTCACTTGGGCGGTGTGTTTCGCTGTTTGTCAACCTTCCAGGATTTCGAGATCAAGGTGCCCATTGCTCATGCGCTGCACTTTCCTATGGATGCTGCAGGTGTGAACACCGAGCTGAACCATTTGGTGGAACGTCTTGGCATTCTTCCTGCACTCGATCTCACGCGATTGAAGCTGGTGATGTATGAAATGGTCATCCATCGGCAGTGGATTACACCTCACATGAGACTGTTTAAAGGTGGGATGTATGATTTCATGCAAGACCAGGACGGCCTCAACGCCACTTTCAAGATAGAGAGAGAGGTTCAACAAAGAATTTTCGAACGAGTTCCAGCACCGCGTGTCAAAATGGATGTGCACCACTACTCTGCAAGGGCTCTCGATGCCACGATCTTGGCGCTGCGTCACTTGCTCAGCCTGGAAGATGTGCATGCATCAGTGGAGCGTGGAAGACCCGTGCAACCGGAGGACATTTTGCATGGAATTCGAATATTTTCCCAGGATTACTTTCCTCAAGGCAGAGATTCCATCCGAAACAGCTACGTTCCAAGACTGCGGCTATCCTCGCAGCTTTCGTCACAGAGTGAGAAGATGATCGAAGAAGAAGAGCTGCCTGAACTGCCAAAGGCCAAGCCGCGAGCGTCGTCGCATGAGGAACCTCCATCGAGAAAGAGACATTCAAGCTTCTTGGCTGTAGACTGACATGTTCGGTTTTATTAGCTACTTTATTCAATCCCTATGCATTTGCCCGCATTTGGTTGTTAGAATGATCACTGCGGAATATTGCAGAGCTTAGCATCCCGATTCCCAAGCCAGGTTTCTACATGCTTGACTCTGTAGATCTCGAAGATGATGTCAAAGCACATGCTGACCCCCCAGCACATGCTCAGCGGCATAGTGAGCCATCCGATGGAGAGATGCTTGAGATTTGAAAAGAGGATGCCGGCAGCCACGGCAGAGCTTATTCGTTCTTACAGGATCTTACAGGTGTGTGGAGGCTCCTTGAGGGCAAGGCTAGGAGCGATTTTGCAGGTGGAAGTCATGTTTCAAGGATTCCAACATGAAGGGTTGTTGGTCATACGACTTCGCATACCCCCTCACAACCAATTTAGCCTCCTTGCACCTTTTGAAGTGCTAAAGTGCTAATCCAGGCTTGCTTCGCATTTTGCTTCGGGAGTGTGGTCATGATAGGCCTAACCAGTACATCCTAGCCAGCTTTCCAGGATTCCTGGCAAACCCGAGGTCGGATTGGAGCCTGAAAACGTTGTGACTTGTCGAAAGGTTTTCTGCGTGGAGAAACGGGGTCAAAGACAACTTGAACAGTTGAGGCATTGAGAGGACTCAGACTTTAATTGTTCTTCTTTTGGGGCGTAAGACGACCAGGGGGGTAGGTGGAAGCTGTCATAACTATCAAGAAGCTACTAGGAAGTGGCCACAGAAGAACGCTTCGCATGATTGACTTGTGTCCTAGATTTTCAGGGAAAGTCACTTTCAATTTTCTAGTTTTTGACCCATCAAATGTCCAATGTCAGACCCCATTTTTTGGCTCTCTTTGTGTGTTTATTGAGCTTATTGCGCACAGAAGTCGTCGACTGCCAGAGTGTGTTGAATTTTAGTACGGGCTCCTTGCACTTCAAGACACTTTCACCAATCTTGTGGCTTGCATTTCTGAGGAAGTCTTCTGTGGTTCGAGTACTGACAGCTGCATGAACTGCGCCAAGCCTTTGGCAGGACATTCTGTGAGCAAGGCCGTGAAGGTTTTGTGAGATCATTCCTTGGAGGTGAGCAGGAGAAGAGAACCAGGTGCTTGAGCCCCTTTAATTATCTTCTTGATTCTCTTGTTCACCTCCCGCCATCACATGGTCGAACATGGAGACCCTGGTAATGTTTAATCCCTCATGTGTCAGGTTGCAAATGAGATGTCAGAGCTGTGCAAGATCCTGCAGATGAGGGTGTGGGGCTGAGCGGACACAACAATTTTCAGCCAGAAGATGTCCAGTTTGTAGTCGACCTGTGTGGTTGGAACCGCGCTTTTTGCCTCGTCTGTCCAGAGTCCTGTACCTGCAAATCTTTATAAATCTTTGTTCAAGATGCCGGCCTCCCGAGCCTAGACTTAGCAGAGGTAATTCAGTTTGAAAGTAGGCCTAGTGCACAAATTTCAATTTGCAATTCTTACTGTACGCCAAGCATGATCACACTTCAACCACAGATTGTACACCCAGGCCACCTTTCTCGAGGCGGGATGACCTTCCGGCAGATCTTTCTGTGTATTTCTTTAGCAACAAGGATACAGCTCGGCTATTTGGTCCAACTTGTTCCATGACCAGGCTGAAGAGGGAGGCAGCTTGGACTTCGATGGCGAGGGCCTCTCCGCACAGGTGCCTTTCTCCTCGGTCGACACGTGTTGGCACCTCGGTCGTGCCCACGTTTTCTCCTCAAAGGCTTGGGTCTACACGCCGAGCCCAGAGGAGTCCGACAAAAGCGGCGAAGAGATGGATCCATGCAAAGCCTTCGGAGAGGATCAAGAGGATGAACCCAAGAGTTCGGAGGCTGGCGTTTTGATGTGTGGTATTGGATGGAAAAAACCAGATGAAACCAGTTGAAACAAGTGATAAGGTCATATAAGGTCTATATAGATTGATAAGATATTGAGGGGATGAGTGTTTTGAACACCAGATAACCTCAGGAAGTCGGGCGTCAACAGGTTGTTGAACAAATGCTCCTGACAGCCTTTCAAATGCACGGCAATGGTCACTTCAACTTTCAAGTTGCGTGGCACTTTTCCCGTTCGGTCACATGCTTGAGTTTGGAGGAGTTTTGCTTTGCCAGGATGTGCAGGAAGAGGAAGTGGTGAAGGAGGAAGGTGCCTCCGAGGAAGCTGGCAGTGCGGAAGAAACTGAGAAGCTCCACAGCTGCACTTGGGTGGCCCATGTCTATGGATTTATGAGTAGACTCAGTAGACACCCTACCCGCCCTCCCCAACCCGATACTGTATATGAAACAATGGTTTGGACAGATGTTGGATTCATGCATTATTATAGCGACCTTAATTCCTGGAAGATGTAGAAGATGCCTTGTGTGGAAGGATGATGGTTATATAGACTCCGGATCCCGGAAGGCGTTCGTTGTTGGCTGAGTTTTCTCACCGAGGCCGAAGAAGAAAGTTGGACTCGTTGAAGCTTGTCTTATTTGTGCAAGTGGGACACGGTGATTTCAGCCCTGCAACCTTGGTTGATCAAGACCTTTGTAGTAAATTTGGCCAGATACTGAGAAGAAATACTGAACTTGTACCGGTAGGTAATGCTACTCGAACATGCAATTTGACTGGGTACCCTTTATACTCTTCTCCTGTGGGTGTTGACCAACCCTTCTGAGATTGTGGCCATGGCGGTTGGGGTGGGCTTAAGACCCTTTGGTAAGGGCCCCATGCGGCTCAGAGAGCACCTGCGAACAACAGTGCTGTAGGCAACGGTATTTCTAAGTGCTACCGTGCTAGCGTGCTACCCCTAAAAATTCAATTGAGAAGCCGGATCTTGGACGTTGGTATTCCAGAATACTCCAAAGATAAGGGCACTACTTGCTACTAGCCGATATTAGCAGTAAAAAGAGGGTGTCGTGCTAGGTATTCACGCCGCTCCGCGGCTAGGTCCGCCCGCACCGCCACGAAAGAATAATAGATATATGCAAAACATTGGCATCGTAGAATCTTGAACTCCCCAATCCGTTTCTACAAACCCCTCCATTAAGCCACAGTCTGCTAATCAGCGGCAAGAGAGCAGAGGGCCCTGAGAGGTCAAAAGCAGGTATGAAGAGTAATGAGTCAGTTAAGAGTTGAACATCCCAGAATTTTTTTGAAGAGCAGGTATGAGTAACTTACGAGATGGAGTCTCAAGCAGTTAAGCAACCTGCAGCTGGAAGTTTGACGTGCTGGTTGAATGGCCCCTTTGATTCTTCCATCTCGGCAAAGCACCGTGATTGACGGAGCGAGGTTTGTGACGTAGACGTTGCCGAAAACACGACTATGTACCGTATTTTATGCAAATATCGACATTTTTGAGCTTGCCGTGGCCAAAAGCACCACTTTTTACCATATTTTTCAGTGGTTTTATGCTTTGCGAAGGAGAAAACACTGTAAATATCGATGTTTTTGAGCTTGTCGTGGCCCAAAACACTGCTATTTACAGTGTTCTTGAGCCTGCTGTCAAAAAACACTGCAATTTGCGACGGTTTCAACAACGTGGCCGCCAAAACCGCTGCTATTTGCGAGGTTTTTTACGTTTTCATGCAAAGACGTCAAGCCTAGACAATTTACAAAAACACTGCAAAAACCAATGTTTCTGCCCAGCAAAAACGGCGAAAACTGTCGCCCAAACAGCTCCGAAATCGCAAAATCTGGTGCCCCGGCCGCCCGACAACAAACATGAAAAAAAAGAACGTCTTGAAACCGAAAATCGAAGACCAAATGTCAAAAAACTCAATGTTTTTAACGTTTATCTTGCCGATTCCGGGCGGGCGCACGCGGTAACTAGTCCATTCCGTGCTGTAAAACACAGTATTTTTTTAATACCGCCGTCACGACCTATCAAAAACTCACGGTTTTGGCCTCGAAAAGATCCCCCCCCCCAGGTAAACCTGACCTTACAGTTGTTGATGCCATCCGGATGATCACGCCCTGAGCACCTTCGGTGCGGGCGGATTTGCAATTTGGCTTGTAAATCAATTCCTTGTTGCTTGAGGCCAGAGCGTGGGCAATGCTGGGATGTTGAAGCCTCAGCCATCCCGCTACCTGCAGACATGAACTGGACACATTGATGTTCTCTTGAAAGAAGGTGTAGAAGACTTGTAATGAGTAGATTCGCCCAAACATATTGTGCCAAAACTGTGGTATGAAAAGTTCCAAGTACACAAATCACATACGTTTGATCACCATGGTATAGCACATGTTTTGCTGAGCCGAGCTGTTTTGCAAGTTTCCAGTGAGCCATTCTGCACACGTTCTCCCAAGGCCAAAGTGGGATGAAGTCTGAGAAACCCCCTGAGAAAACATCACCGGAGAAGGCACCGCAGCGCATTGCTGCACTGCGGCCTTTGGGCATGCTTGGAATGGTCATGGAACGGTCATCGGTGGACTGGTCATTCATTTCGCCAAATGTGATAAGTGATAAGATGTGATAAGATAAGACAGATGTGATTGTCGCAGTCCACCTATGGATTCCATTGTTAAAACGGCCACGCCATAAACCCCCTTGTCACTTGTTTGTGTTCACTACCGATCTTGGGAGCTGGGCGTGTAAGGAAAGCCCCGCAGTGCATAAGGTTGCGCACATAACCACAATCCTTTTTTGGTGCTGTGTAAGGCTTTGGCTTGATCAAGAGCAACAGGTTTCACATTTGATGTGAGCACTGCCTCACCGCTTTACTTAGGTTTTTGTCATTGCTACTGCTGTTTGCTGTGAGTTGCCCTAGGGGCTTCTCGTTGGAAACGTTCCATGGGTACTATGCCTTGTTCACAATAGACTTTAGTGCTGACTTGTTCTTTGAGATATGTTAATTTCGGATTTCGGTAAGTGTGGGAGCCCTCAAACCAGAACCTGATATTGCCAGTACATAGTTGTTAGACCACAGACGTCCGCATTGTTCCCAAACCCACTTTTGCCAACTGCAGTGGCGCCCACTGCAACGCATTGTGGACGAGGTTGAGAACATCTTCAAGTCTCGCTGATGAAAAGAGCCTGTAGAAAAGCTTTATCACTTTTTCTTCCATACTTTTCCTGCCTGCCTGGCCTGGTGGAAAATGCAGCGTTTGATGGCTCGTCCTTTTCTTTCAGTTTGTCGTTTGCTTCTGCAAGTAGCAACTCTTGCAGCTCCATTGTTGGTCAAAAACGTCGCGTAAGCATATTCCTTGTAGATTCGCACATGTTCGCACAAAGCAAGCAAGGTCTACTGGTGGCGTAAGCATCTAGTTCCCCCCCCACATGCTGCGTAAGAATAATTGCGGAGCGCGTGAGCAAGATGTAAGCGCTGCGTAAGCACCCTCTTGAGACATAAGAATTTATCAAACCTTTCAGCAAAGCTCTTAAACTTGGATCACGCATTCAAGGGATATGACGTCGAATGGCGGTTCAGCCATAAATCTCTCTGAAGCTTTCCTGACGAAGGCCAGTGGACAAGATGTACAAGAGGCGGAATCAACAGGCCTAAGATTTGGGCCCCATGGAGCTTGTGTTGATGAATTGTCATTTGCAAGACACGAGTCATGATGGCGGAGTTTTGAACAGTACAATTGTTCTTGGCATCGGTGCATGACTTTGCTCAAAAATGGCAGGTTCCGGCCAAGATGAGTAGCGAAACACAGGTGCTGTTGGACTGCAATGCGCTTGCGAGGTGTCCAAATGTCAGTGATACAAATGTGAGTGTCGTTGGAGATTTTCAAGCAGAATGGACGCCCCAGTAGTTCAAGGGCACCATACCAAACATTTTTGCTTTTCAGTATGTCAGATTTGGCAACTTCCACGGCGCGGATACTCTCTAGGACAATTTTGAGTGGAATTCAATAGGCTCATTTCAGCAATTTCGCTGCAGGGCGCAGTTGTCCTTAAAGCAATACTTGGACTTGTGCCTGAATAAATTCAGGTTTGGCAAAGCTTGCAGTTGATAACTTTTTGAGCTGACAACTTCTTTGCAGACTTTAACTCAATTTAACTTCCTAGAACCCACGTACTTTGCCAAACTCGAAGGTTGTCATTCCCCACTATTGGGTAATGCCAATTCGAAGCTGCACATGGAGAACGCCGTTTTCAATCCATCTTTCTCTTTCTCCGATTGGATGGAGCGCAGGATTGCCCGGCACGTTGTGCTGGTGACGGTTTGGACTTTCTTCATTCAAAATGAACAGAGGTCCTCTCCGAATTCAGGTGCCTTAGATCAATACGACGAAAATCCTATATATATATATTAAAGAATATCCATTATTTCCAACAACGATAAAATAGAAGAATATAAAAAATATGGAATCAACATTATGAAAAAGAAACCATGGAAAAGATATGAAGATAGAAAAATCAATAATAAAGAAATAAAAGATATATATATATATATATATTGAACATATTTAAATATATAAATAATAATTAATATTTAATATAGATATATATAAATAATGAATAGATATAAAAATTTTAAAAAATATACTATATTATATTAATGATTTATTTGTATTTTAATAATCGAATCTATAATATATACCGCAATAATTATATATAATTTTTGAATTAATATATACGGCAAAACAACAATGTTTCAATTTATAAATCGACGCATTATAGCTGCCATGGAATTAATTTTAAATGGTGCTGGCAATATTTAGGAGCATTTTCATTGGCGCTCGGAGGATTACAATTACACCATCCTTGGTCCTGTTGGAGCACAAATAACATGCTCAGCAAACGTCGTTGGCATGTGGTACAGTTTGCCCACAAGCTTTGATTGACATGCAATAAGTATCCTTGCAGCAAGCAAATTATGATCCAACAGCCATTCTTAGAAAATCCATGCTGGCAATATTCAGGAGCATCTTATTGGCGCTCGGAGGATTACGACTACACCATCCGTAGTCCTGTTGGAGCACAAATACCATGCTCAGCAAACGCAGTTAACATGTGGTACAGTTTGCCCACAAGCTTTCATTAACATGCAACAAATATCCTTGCAACAAGCAAACTATAATCCAATAGCCATTCTTAGAAAATCCATGCTGGCAATATTCAGGAATATCTTCATTGGCGCTCGGAGGATTACGACTACACCATCCTAAGTTGGTAATAATATAGGTACGTATATTGGTGGTAATGGATTGTTATGCTTGCTATATTGAATTATTTATTTTCTTTCAAAACAGGATTTTTTTAAAATTAAATTTAATTTTTTTTTTTTTTTAAAAACCTAAATTTAAAATATCTAAGGCAAAAAATCAAAATAATTAGTTGTATTTAGAGCTTAGCTTTTTTCAAGAAATATTAATAAATTATAGGGAGAATATTAAGAATGCAATTTGTAAAATAATCGTTAAATCCAAAAATCTAAATTTCCAAATCCTCTACCGAAAATAAGATTTAATCTATCAATAGACCAATTTTTTAATCATTTTCGCACGACCAAATAAAACCATAACGAAAAAAAATTATCTAAAAATAAATTTTTAAAACAACCACTAAATAACTTCCTCAAAGCCTCAAATCTTCCAAATCCTTTATAATAATCTTTCTATAATTATCTAAAATTTATTTTATATTCTTTTCCTATAACATTACGAAAACGCCATTAACATTATTAAAAAAATTATAAACAATAAATCTATTTCGATTAATTTCCATCAAAACAATCAATTATATATTTACACATTTTATTAAAATAATTACTAATAATTATATATAATAAAGATTTAATAATATTTATAACAATAGATTTTATTTATATATTTAATAAATATATTTATTCATTTTAATTAAATATTAGTTAATTATTAATTTATATTATATATATTTAAATTATTTCGATTTATTAAAAAATAAATATTTTTAAAATATACGCATATATATCTTCAGACCTTTACACCATTTAATATTTCTATATTCAAAAAATCTTCATCAAATATTATCATTTCAATAACTATAATTTAACTCTATATAAATATATTTTTTAAAACACATATTTTTTTAGTAATCAATTGATGGAGAATTGGTTTGTTGCATATCCAGCGTTGGTCCAGATTTACAGTCCTCTTCTTCGATCAATATATTTCCTCATCTTGGATGGGCCAATAACGCCAGTGTGCCGGAAACAGCGCGTGAAAGGGCACTGACGGGCCACAAAGGTCGAAGCTAGCTCTGGGTGTTGTCACGCAAATGAACTTCTTGCGGAAGGAGGTATCATGAGGTATCCACAGCGCCTCCTCGCTCATTCTGTGAAGCTGCGCAGGCTAAGCACGCCAAAGACAACCATCAGGACTTGGCGGTCAACATCCCCTTATCTCCCCCTCCAAAAGAGCTGCTCGTGATGTGATTGAGCTTCGGCACCGACATCAAGGCACCACAGGGCTCCATTTGGCAAAACATCCAATTGGCCTCTGTGAAAGGCAAGCCAAACATCCAAAGGTCAAAAAAAGATTTGCAGAGTTTCATAGACAGCAGTAAGCAGGCCAAGCAGTGGATTCAGGAAGCAAGAAAAGCTCCCAGGACAATCCTTGCGAAGTAAGGTGATTGATTGATCGCTTTGCTGTGTCCGTAGAGCAGCTGCGGACCAAGGGGAAAACTAGGAAATGGCTCATGTCCCCTTCAGCTGAAGATTTCAGAAGTCTTCCACTTTGAATACATGCGCAAGGCTCCTCCAACTGATCCAAACCTCTCGCGCAGAAGCTTCGTGCATGGACATGGATGTTGCTTCGAATCTGCTCAACATCACCTCAACAACCTGAGGCAAACGTTGCAGGATAGCGCTCATCTTCATTCAAATGAAAACTACATGGTGCTGTCCGCGGGCTAGGAGAGGAAAAGGTACACGGTGCAAAGGAGAAAGACCTGTCGAAGCTCAGCCAGGGAAGTGCTCCAGTTGTCGGGGCCAGCAATTGCAAAAGAAAAAATTAACCCTTAAGACCCTCAAGAAGAGAATTAACCTGTAGAATCTTTGAGCAAAAGCAATGGGACGAACGGAGGGGGGTTTGACTCTCTGCTGCACGCAATGCAGCCTTTTTCATCCGAAACAAGAAAAGGATAGAGATAGAGTCGGTCTAGTTTCATCCACGGCCAACGCGAATACTGTAAGTATTTCACTAGCCTTTTAAACTCCAGGTTCCAGGTTGATCAACATAGATGGGCAAGCCTCTTACCTTTGGTATGCGACGACGGCGATTCCGACGACAACATGTATATATACACATATACATTGGGTCTATCTTAATACCTGTAACAGTGGATGATGATGGTTACTACAGGCCTTTCTCTAAAATAATGATAATTGTTTACTGACTGTTACAAGCAATAGGGCAAACACAATAATATATACAGTATAATTTTTGGTGTCAATCGTCCAGTCTTTAAAACCCAATTTCAATGAAAACGAGCAACAATGAACAACTTCCCTTACTTTTCCTCACCTTTTTCCCCCATATCACAATTCAATGGAGTCACAAAGCCAGTCATAACCCCATAAAATCCAGCCCTGGAATTCCCTTTTTGTTACCAAGGCCATGCTACGCTGTGACTCGAGGACTGAAGGCGACTGAACGTCTGGGCTTTGTGCTGTTGGGAGACTCCTGCAATTCTTGCCTTAAACCATCAGGATTCGAATTTGCCTCGTCAAAGCTATCACTGCGGCCAAGCCCACCGTCCGCCGTCCGCCCACTGACAGCCGTCCAGTGTCTCCCTGCCTTGGCCGTGACTCGTCTTGCGGTCGCCTCCAAGGTGCCGATGCTCCCGACGCGAAGCTGCTCGGCCAAAGAGCTGCTTCGGGAGAACAGGGGCCTCTCCTGGTGCTCCAGTCCAGTGGGATGGAAAAAATGGTTGCTGGGCTTTTTGGAGTGTCAGATTGGTAGAACAGAGCAATGCTTTGTAGACTGATGCTTATAAAGTGATAAATCATCATAGACTCATAGATAATGATGCCTATAGAGTGATAACTCATCATAGAAGCTTGTGCTTATGAAGTGATAAATCAATCATCGTAGAAGCTGATGCTTATAAAGTGGCAAGTCTTCGTAGACACTGATGCCTATAAAGTGATAACTTACCATAGAAGCTGATGCGTGCAAAGTGAGAAATCATCATAGACGCTGCTGCTTATACAGTGATATATCATCACAGAAGCTGATGCTTATGAAGGGCAGCGCCTCATCCGCGCACACGGATTCGACTCAAGTGCGCACACACATTTTATCAGCCCTTGTGCCTCATCTGGGCACGCACTTGTTGACTCAAGCGCGCGCACACCCCATCGGGCGGGGACTTAAGTGCGCACACAGGCCCTTTCCCGAATGTTGATGCGTATTCCAAATTTAACCCCTGCATTGCTCACTTAAATGGGTAGTCAACTTGGAATGACCACTTCCTTCTCTCAGTTTAACCCTTGCATTGCCCACAAAAGGGTGAGTCAAGTTGACACGGCAACATCCTTCTCTAAATTCTACCCTCCGGTGGCTCACCAAAGGGTGAGTCAACTTGGACGGGCAACATCCTTCTCTACATTTTACCCCTGCATGGCCCACAAAAGGGTTATTCAACTTGGCATGGCCACTTCCTTCTCTAAATTTTACCCGTGCACGGCCCACAAAAAGGGTGAGTCAAGTTGGAATGACCATTTCCTTCTCTAAATTTTACCCCTGCGTTGCCCACACAAAGGGGTGAGTTGAAATGGCAACATCCTTCTCTACATTTTTCCCCTGCGTTGCCGACAAAAGGGTTAGTCAACTTGGAGTGGCAACATCCTTCTCT